TGATCACCTCTGTGTTTTACTGGTAGTATTCTGTGCAAGAAGTAAGGCTTGAGATTTTAATAAATAGAGTCATTTAAATGATAGCACCTTTGAGTATTTACCTGATTACTGCTGTTTCAGTTTGTGCAAAGAAATATTGATAATAAGTACAATAGCTACCATTCACCAACTCTTCAGTCCTATCTGCCTTTCAGATAATGACTGCTAACCTGACGCTGTGCTTTTATCTAAGATTTCTTCCATTTATATATTTTTAATGAAGCCTTTTTATCCTGATTGATTACAAGCTAGGAGGGCAGAATAAGGTTTATCTTCCATACTTGGGCAATAAGAAACAACAGAGATAGGATCAGATTTAAGACAGAAATTGGCTAAGCTGCTGGTTTAAGGCACATTTTTTCCAGCTCTGCAACCTGATTCTGAATCCAGTGCAAACTAGTGGGAGAATCAACTTTCCTGGAGCTCTGTGGAGATCAGTTCTTGTGCCAGCCTTAAACTCAAAAACCCTTTGGGTAATTCTATTGCTTACTGCTGCTGTGGTTCAAGAGGTCACAAGTTTTAATAATCCAAGAAAGTAATGAGCACAAGCTAGCTCCTAGCAACAGAGACAGCCTGTTTAAAGTGGAAATAAGGAGGCCAGAGGGTGGAAGTTCGAGAATGTTTCAGGCCAGCTCTTACGGAATGTGGACACATGCACGAAACAACTGGTTTCCAGTGGCACTGTTACTGAGAAAGAATATGGAGATGATAGAATCTATAGATTATGGAATTATAACTCTGGAAAAGCTGGTCTGTTTAAAAGCAGACAGTGAATCAGTTGTGATAATGTGGACTATTTATGGGCAGAATTTGTGATTGTCATAGAATTGCACTTGTAAATATCATGCAATTGATTGGATGACATAAAGCATGAGGAAGTTAAAGGTGAGGTTAAAGTTCTTTAAATGCAAGAAGGAAGCCTCTTTCCAAGGAGGGACAAGCAAGCTTGAATGAGTTAGTTGATCAAACCAATGTGGAACACATGACATGTGTGATAACAAACAAAAGCAGAAATTTCTGCAGAAGCTCAACAGGTCTGGCAGCATCTGTGATGAGAAACAAGAGTTAACATTTTTGAGTCCAGTGACCCTCCTGCAGAACACATTAATGATTTTGCCAGTAGTCAAACAGATTAATTGCTGGAGACTAGGAAGTGTAGAGGTTTGAATACATAGCTTCTTTGCATGGAAAATGGGATTAAAATGTTAATCACCTGTTCTGGTCTGATCTTTGAAAAAATCAACTTCACTTGTAAGTTTTGTAAGGGTAAGATTTTTTGCAGTAATTTTTATAGTGTACTTCAATAAAGAATGGTGTGAACGTTCTGTTGTTAGACCTGCCTTGGTTTATTGTTATCCAGAGTAAGCCCAAAAGTGAGAATAGAAGCCCACAGCATATGCAGCAAGCTAATGGGATGGCTAATGAAGTGTTCGGCTTTATGGCAAGAGGATTTGAGTACAGGATTAGTGAAGTTTTGCTTCAACTGTACAAGAGTTAGATCACACTTAGTGTATTATGTGTGGTTTGGCTTCCTAACTCAGGAAATAAATTATTGCCATTGAAGGAGTGCAATAAAGGTCCACCAGATGTGTTCTCAGGATGATGGGACTATTGCATGAAGAGAAATTGGGCAAACTGTGCCTGTATTCTCTAAAGTTTTGGAAATGAGAGGTGATCTCATTGAAACCCACAAAACACTTGAAGGGACAGACAGGGTAAGTGCAGGTTAGATATTTCCACTGGTTAGAGAGTCTAAAACTGGGGGCCACATTTTAAAAATAAGGAAGAAGTCACTTACATCGGAGATGGGAAATTATTTTACTCAGAGAATTGTGAATGTTTGGAATTCCTTACCACAGAGGGCTACGATTCTCCGTTTTTGTGTATTTTTAACATAGTGTTTGATAGATTTCTGATTATCAATGGTGCACAAGGTTATGGAAATGGTTAAAGTAAATTGAAGTACTCGACCAGCCATGATCATATTGAAGACAGGGCCAACCTGATGGGCTATTCCTGCTCTAATGTTTCTAAATTGTTGGATTTTCTAAGAGAATGTTGTTATGAGGAAATTGCTGAGCAACCTTCATTGGATTTGAGTCAAAATAATTTACTTTTACTGAAAAACACAAGTTGTTTTAATAAAGCGTATTTTATGACCGCAGGATTTCCCAAAGCATTTTGCAACCAAAGGAACACTTCTTTGAAGTGGTTGTGCAGTAAGAACTGCAATAGCCAATTAATGCACAGCAAACTCCCACAACTAACAATGTGATAATAACCATACCACCTGCTTCCCTGGTGTTGAATAGTGCATAAATGCTGGTCAGGGGCCCAGGAGGTTGTCTTTTAAGTCGTCCTGTCAGATCATTTACATCTAACTCATAGGGCAGCTGGATTTTAGTCAAAACAAAAACAGAAATTGCTGGAGAAACTCAGCAGGTCTGGCAGCATTTGTGCAGAGAAAGCTGAGTTAATATTTTGAGTTCAGTGACTGTTCTTTAGAACTGATAGTAGCAAACAATTGGAGACAGAGCTCAGAGTCATAGGGTTGCACAGCATGGAAACAGACCCTTAAGTCCAACTTTCCCATACTGACCAGATATTCTAAATTAAATAGTCCCATTTGTCAGCATTTGGCCCATGTCCCTCCATATGCCTTCCTATTCCTAGACATCCAAATGTCTTTTAAATATTGTAATTGTACCAGCCTCTGCCACTTTGCTCTGATAGCTCATTCCATATATGCACCACACTCTGTGCGAAAAAGTTGCCCCAAAGGTACCTTTTAAGTCTTTCCTCTCTCAATTCAAACCTATGCCCTCTAGTTTTGGACTCCCCTACCCTGGGAAAAGGCTCGGCTATTCACCCTATCTGTGCCCTTCTTGATTTTATACACCTCAATGAGGTCACCCAGGGAAAATAACCCCAGCCTATTCAGCATCAAAAACAGAAGTTGCTAGAAAAGCTCATCAAGTCTGGCAGCATCTGCAAAGAAAAAAATCAGAGTTCTCCCTTTAGCTCAAACCATCCAACCCTTGCAACATCCTTGTAAATCTTTTCTGCACCCTTTCAAATTTAACAACATCTTACCTATAGCTGGGAGGCCAGAACTGAATGCAGTATTCCAAAAGAGGCCTAACAGTGTCCTGTACAGTCACAACATGACATCCCAATGCCTATATTCAATGCACTGACCAATAAAGGCAAGTATACCGAATGCCTTCTCACTATCCTATCTACCTGCAACTCTACTTTCAAGGAACTATAAACCTGCATTCCAAGGTCTCCCTGTTCAGTAACACTCCCCAGGACTTTACCATTAAGTGTATAAGTTCTGGAGCTGGAAGCATTAGCTCAGCTTTCTCTCAATAGATGCTGCCAGATCTGCTGAGTTTAATCCAGCAATTTCTGTTTTCGTTCCGGATATTTAACAGTTCTTTGTTTTATTTTAGCTTGATTTAGGTATTTTTAATCAGACTGTTAAGGGATGTTATGACACACTTCTGGAGCAGGTGGGATTTGAAATAGCAGCTTCATTTAGCTTTTCCCAGAAAAACAGCGTGGCTGCACTTTTCCCAGCAACTGCAGGAAGTGCTACACCTGCCCCCACACCTCCTCCCTCACCCCCATCCCAGGCCCAAAGAAGACTTTCCACATCAAGCAGATGTTCACCTGCACATCTGCTAATGTGGTATACTGCATCCGCTGTACCCGTTGTGGCCTCCTCTACATCGGGGAAACCAAGCGGAGGCTTGGGGACCGCTTTGCAGAACACCTACGCTCGGTTCGCACTGAACAACTGCACCTCCCAATCGCAAACCATTTCAACTCCCCCCTCCCATTCCTCAGACGACATGTCCATCCTGGGCCTCCTGCAGTGCCACAATGATGTCACCCGAAGGTTGTAGGAACAGCAACTCATATTCCGCTTGGGAACCCTGCAGCCCAATGGTATCAATGTGGACTTCACAAGCTTCAAAATCTCCCCTCCCCCTACCGCATCCCAAAACCAGCCCAGCTCGTCCCCGCCTCCCACCTCAAGCCCCACCCCCATCTCCTACCTACTAACCTCATCCCGCCCCCTTGACCTGTCCATCCTCCCTGGACTGACCTATCCCCTCCCTACCTCCCCACCTACACTCACCTTTACTGGCTCCATCCCCGCCTCTTTGACCTGTCTGTTTCCTCTCCACCTATCTTCTCCTCTAGCCATCGTCTATCCGCCTCCCCCTCTCTCCCTATTTATTTCAGAATCCCTTTCCCCTCCCCCATTTCTGAAGAAGGGTCTAGGCCCGAAACGTTAGCTTTCCTGCTCCTCTGATGCTGCTTGGCCTGCTGTGTTCATCCAGCTCTACACCTTTGTTATCTGCGACATGCCATTTCACAAAACTCTGATCCAGTGGCACTAAATTCAAAACTGGCACAATCCAGTCACCACATGCTTTCGCTTTTGTTGTTGTTTATAAACAGCGTGGGACACATAATGGGAAAAATTCTACAGGGAGTTCATCCAAAACCCATTTTTGCTCTCGAGTCCCTGCCAACTCGTGTCAGCACCCGATTCAAAACAGCACGGAGTGCGGAAAACAGATATCGGATGCGCACAAATAGATAGCGGGAAGGCATAAAAACGGCACTCCAGGTGCTGAGCGCAAGATTAGACCTCTCGCACAGTAAACGTGAGAGATGAAGGGTGTGGAAATCCCTGCGGCCCCTGGGGAAGGCTCCCATTTATGGGCAAAAGCAGGTTTCGCCTCTCCGCTGATGTTGAAAATGACATCGGGTCGCAGCTCCCGCGGGGGGGCGGACTGTATCAATTACCGGCTCTGATTGACAGTCACCTCCACCAATGGCCGGCCAAGTTCCGGGATCCGTCAGCCCCGGGCTGGCCAATGGGTGCCCCGAAGCGTGGGGGGCGGGGCAGCCTGCGCCCAACCCCCTCCCATCCACCTCCTGCCCCGGGGAACTGGAGCTGGGTTCACGTTTATCCCAATCTACCTGCCTGTTGTGGGGACAGCGAGGAAAAGCTGTAAGTATCAGCAAGGCAGACCTTTGCTGACTACGGGGTTTTGCCCTGCGTGCGTGTGCCATTCATAATAAGCAAAGATAAAAAAAAAGGTCAAGCCACCCTCGGGCAGAAGGGCTGAGGCGAAATGTTTACACCGTCTGCCTGCTAGAGCTGACGGCAGATGATAAACGGGACTCCTTGCCCTGTACCTATAGCGTTCGTTCGGGTGTCTGTGCACTTTTCAACGCTGTTTGGTTGCCCTTACAAACAGGGGGGTGTGCTAACAGGCGCTTGATTTTCAGGTTAAACGACAAGTTGTATTGCCACCTTCTTTCTGAGACTAGGATGTGCAAGCTTAGAGGAGGACCTCAGAGCTGTTTAATTTTTTTTTAAATCAGAAGTCCTTTACAGTCTGTGGAAGCGTTTTTGGTCTTGCGGCTTTACATCACTGTAACTTGCAGTACTCGTGCAAAAATCTAGGCAGCTGTGCTTCACAGCACGAATAGAGAGAACAGTTACCAATCTTAACGGCATGATTTCCGGAGTTATTAATTCGAGCCCATTAACACGTTGTAGGGACCGCAGATGCTGGAAATTTGAAATTAAATAGAACATTCTGGAAATTCTTTGCCGGTCAGATAACATCTTTGGCTAGAGGAGCATGCTGCTTCAAGTTGATGTAAATCTGTCGATACTGATCATTGCAGGTTTCATCAGTTCCACCGTTAAGAAAATAAATTAGCCAAGTAATGGATTTGACCTCTAGACTGTATGGAGTTGTTTGGAATTTATCTGGCACGGACAGTAGCTGCAATTGATTTTGATATTCTCAAATGACAGAAGGGGTAAAATTGACCAGGGCTTTAGCTTCTGATTCATTGTCCCCACCCCCACTCTCCTTGAAATGACAGGTGAACTTTTGAACAGGATCAGCTCCATCCTGCCTTTGAAGTGAAAGTACAAATGAACTGAGCAACGGCGCTCAGCATCAGTACTGAGCAAGGAGGAGCTTCGCCTTCTACTGGTAACTTCCTCTTGCAGATCAAAGATGAAAGCTCTCCGTTGAGGGAGTGATCTGCAAATCAACCGGTGTATTTCCATATACACCAATCGTATGGTGTAGTTTACATGATCAAATTTAATGTAGGAAAACACCCCAAGGTGGTAGGAGCTATTCGTTTATTCCCCATGTGGTCAAAAACAATTTATTAAACCTAAGGCATGTAAGGGGGTTGTCAGGAAACAGTTTCTTTTTCATGCATTGGGTTAGTGGATATCTAAAATGCTCTCCCCAGACCCACTCCTTAAAGGGTGTGGATACTGACAGTCAAATGAAACTTCCGAGGCCAAGTTAGAGTTTTATTAGGCAATGGTTTCAAGGTAGTTCAGAAGGTGAGTTATATTGGACTTAAAACACTAACTCTGTTTCTTTTTCCACTGTTGTTACCAAACCTGTCGGGTTTCTGCAGCATTCTCTGTTTCTAAATTATGAGTATCAAGGGATATGGAAACATGATAAATAAGGGATGAGATAGTAGGAACTGCCAATGCTGGAAAATCTGAATAACAAGGTGTAGAGGTGGATAATCACAGCAGGCCAAGCAGCATCAGAGGAGCAGGAAAGCTGACGTTTCGGGTCTGGACCCTTCTTCAGGAACAGAGGGATCTTGGGGTCCTCGTCCATAGATCCCTCAAAGTTGCTACCCAAGTTGATAGGGTTGTTAAGAAGGCGTACGGTGTGTTGGCTTTCATTGGCAGGGGAATTGAATTTAAGAGCCGCAAGGTTATGCTGCAGCTCCATAAATACCTGGTTAGACCACACTTGGAATATTGTGTTCAGTTCTGGTCGCCTCATTATAGGAAGGATATGGAAGCTTTAGAGAGGGTGCAGAGGAGATTTACCAGGATGCTGCCTGGAATGGAGGGCAGGTCTTATGAAGAAAGGTTTGTGGGAGCTAGGGCTTTTCTTATTGGAATGAAGAAGGATGAGAGGTGATTTGATAGAAGTGTACAAGATGATGAGAGGCATAGATAAAGTGGATAGCCAGAGACTTTTTCCCAGGGCAGAAATGACTGTTATGAGGGGGCATAATTTTAAGGTGATTGGAGGAGGATATAGGGGAGATGTCAGAGGTAGGTTCTTTACACAGAGCGTGGTGGGTGCGTGGAATGTGCTGCAGGCAGTGGTAGTAGAGTCAGATACATTAGGGACATTCAAACGACTCTTGGATAGGCACATGGAGGATAGTAAATGTACGGTATGCAGGGTAGATCTTAGAGTAGCATAATAGGTCGGCACAACTTCGTGGGCCGAAGGGCCTGTACTGTGCTGTACTGTTCTATGTTCTATATTCTATAAGTGGATTTAAAGTACAGATTAGCCATGGCCTAATTGAATGACAGAATGGTTGTGGATATTTGTATTCCTGTTAATTTCAATGCTTATAATAAGGGTGGGGAGGCAAATTACTCAACTTATTCTAAACTTGAATAAAAAAATAATCAAAGCTTTGATCTACCTCTTATGGTAAGAAGTGATATTTACCCTGAATGGTTGAGACTTAAGTTTAAATTGGAATGAGTCAGATATAATTTCATTGCTTTGCACACCATTTAAGAAAAAAACATCAACAGCAGAAACCGAGTCTATGCAAATTAGAAGATGTATTTTTTTTAAGAATTCAAATTATAATATGGGTGTCACTGGTTTAAAAATCAGCACTTATTGCCCCACCCTTTTTTTTTATGGCTTCATTCCAATTTCTCATCACTCTCAACTGATGCTCATCTTTGTTGATGACATGTACCTCCTGAACTCTACATGTTTTCCCCATCAGATTGCTGAAAAGCCAGTTTCCCTTTCTAATCCCTACATGGATGGAGTTGTTAATGATACCTACTCCTCAGCTCCTGTTCTCATTCCCTTCAAATCTACCGTTATCACCCTTCTCAAAAATCCAACCTTGACTCCTGTTGTCTTTGTAAACTACCGCAAGCTCCTTTTATTTTCTGAATCGCTCAAATGTGTTGTCATATGCCAGAGCAGTGGCCACTTTTACCACAATTGCAGAGTTGAATCTTTCCAAGCAGGTTCCACTTTAGTTCTGAAGTACCTTGAATCAAGCTCATAAACGGCATTAGTGTGACCATGATAAGATATCCTGATGCCTATCCTTCCTGATTTTTCCTCAGTCTTTGATATAATTAACCACATTATCGTCCTCCAATCTGCATCCTCTGTGGTTCAGTGGGATTGCCAATGTGTGGTTTGATGCTTATCTAATTGTAACAGAAAAAGATCCATAATGGTTTCTTTCCCCACTCTCACACCTCTAGAGTCTCCTGAGCACCTATCCTTGGCCTCCTGCTATTTCCCTACACATGTTGGCCCTGGCAGAAATCATCCAAAAATATGATTCCATGTTCCACATTTGAATTGATGACTCTTGGTTCCACTCAGAACTTTCTCAGTCAATCGCTCTATTGTTTCTGAATAGTCAAGTTGGTTGACAGTACCATGTATTAGATGAGCAGGAATTTTGTCCAGTTAAGTAATGTGATTGTCTTTAGTTTTCATCACAAACTCTGTTCTTTTGCCACCGCCTCTATCTATCTCACCCGCTGACGATTTTCTGAGGCTGAAGCAGACTGTTTGTAACTGTATAATCGTATTTGACTCTGACATAAGCTTCCAACCATATATCTGCTCATTACCAAAGCTGCCTAATTCTATCTCCATTTCATTTCATGCTCAAACGTCATCCAATGTCTTTGTGACCTTTAAGCTATACAATTACAATGCTCTCCTGGTAGGGTAATGCTTTCCTACTCTCCTACCTTCCAGTGTCCCTAAACCGGAGATTATCCAAAGCTCTGCAGTTTGTGTCCTAGCTCTCACCATGTCCCTGGTACCATTATGTTTCTGCTTGCTAGCCTACATTGATGCTAGGTTGTGACAATGCTTCTATTTAAAATTTTCACCTACACCCATGACTTCACCCCACCTTATCCATGCAACTTCCTCTAAAACTCTAAACCCTCAAAGTCTGAGTGCTCCTTCCAAATCCTGCCTGTTGCACAACCCTGATTTGCTTGTCCACCATAGTGACCATACCTTAGCTGTCTCTTCTCAGTAATTCCCTTCCTGGACCATTCTGCCTTACTAATACTTCCTTAACCTTTAAGATGCTCCTTAAAACCTCTTTGATCGTGCTGTTTCTAACCTGCCCTTAAATACCACGGCTTTATATAACTGTGCCAAATTTAGCTTTGGTAATGCTCTTATTTGTGACTGGGCTGTTTTACTATATTAAAGGTGCTATTGTGGTGCAAGCCTTTGCTGTTGTCCATCAGAAGGTGATGGTGGGCCTTCTTCTTGAATTACAGCAGTCGCTGTGGCCCAATAAGGGATTTCGGAATTCTCATGCACTGGTTGCTTTGCTCTTCTAGATAGTTGAGGTTGATTACTGGTGAATACTTCACAGCTAAAAGTAGCAAGTGGCCAACAGTTCTATTGCAGTTGAGCCAACTCCATGCAGATTCATTAAGAAAAGGGACCAATGTGAACCTTTCATTACCTCAAGACTTCCCAAAGTTCTTCACAGGCAATGACATATTTTTGACATGTAGCCATTGTCCTAAGAAACACAGGACAGAATCTTATAGGGGTCTGAGCAATGTTGCCAATGGCAAGATTTCTGGCAGAATCAGACAAGAAGCCTGGCGAGGCTGTTCTGTATGTTTGGGAGCATTTCGCTCTATCCTTTATCCTTTTGCTGAGTAGCGAGCTGTGTTTCTCACTAGGTTGTGGCAAATTGTCAAATAAGGTGGGGGGGGGGGTTCGAGCTTTTGAAACGTTTTATTAGTGAGCAGTGTACCACATTAGTATTCAGGTTTTTGCCTTACCAAGCAAGGCTGACATTCAGAAATCTTGATGTGGAAGTCAGTGTGGGTATTTGGTGACTTCACCTTGTTGCTGGCTGTGAGGAGCCTCCGTGTTGTTCAGCGCCAAACAGCATCTG